CCTACAATAGACTTTATCTCGTTTAGACTTGGACCAACTTAGCCCTAATACACGCACATTATAATACAGTGGAATGTTAGGAATCCTGGTAAATTCTTGCAAAATAAAGATGGATTTATTTTTTGCTGAGATTTCAGCTACTAAAACTGTGAAGGCAAGTGTATTTTTAGCAATGAAATGGCTTCTTAAGACACTTCTTCTGAAGAGATTAATATGCTTTATTATTTTATCTTGTTTGGGGCCTGAAAGATTTTGTATAGGTATCTAATAAGCCTGTTTTGATCACAGTATGGTCAGCTTGAATGAACAGTGCATACCTGGAGAATAGGCCAGAAGTATGACCTCCCACTGAAGTTGAAGCTCTCAGGTTCTATAAAACCATGTAGCAAGCTTTAGAAGCATGTTGTTTTACAAATGTTGTCATTTGAGGAATGGACTGTATATGTGTCCATCATCTGAATAATTTTTTGCATCAAGAAATTGTATACAAGCCCTAATCGAAAGCAGGTAAATAATGGCTGGTAATAAGTGACTTGAGAACATGCCTTAAAGTTTAACTATAAGAAATAGTTTGTAAAGGTTAAAAATCAAGAGGTTAGACAGGAACTTCCACAAGAAAACTTTGGTCCCCTGATTTTATAATGCCAATTATAAAATGAGGTGAATACCTAAATGCCATTTGAAGCCTCAAGATTTAAAATCCATTTTGAGAGTCATTGTGAGTAAACTCCTTAACAATAACATGGGAAATTCTTGTGCTGTATGGACGGAACAAAAACAATAACCAAATTTGATTTTTTTTGTTTTCTTTTTGTTTGTAGGTGTTTAATGAAATGACAGAACTGCTTTCATCTTACCGAAATTATGATACTTACCGACGTGCCTATAATGAGTGCAGTAACTTCAAGATCCCAATCCTTGGGGTCCACCTGAAAGACTTGATATCACTTCATGAGGGCATGCCAGACTACTTAGAGGACAAGAAAATTAACATATACAAATTATACTCTCTGTACAACCACATAAATGAGCTGATACAACTCCAGGAAATGCCACTTCCCCTGGAGGCTAATATGGACCTTGTTCATTTGCTTACAGTAAGTCTGTTAGGTGCAATAAATACCTCCATTTAAAAAATAATTTTATATACATCTCAAACAACTAAGTAGAGAATTCCATTAATTATAAATACATAATACTGTAAGATATTTTTTTTTTCCTTAAGGAAATGTACAGTAATAGAAGAAGAGAAAAAGTTAGTGTTACTGTTTTATCTGGCAGCAAGGGTACAGGTGCCAGTTCAGCAGAATGCCTCCAGTTATTTCTGTAAGGGAAGGAAATGTTTGTTTTTGCTTCATTATAGGAGTCTGCATTCTCTCCATACTTGCACTAAGGAAACACTCTGAATCCTCTGCTGATTAAGCCCTAAATAGGGAGAAAGGTAGAAAGCTTCCTTAGATGCACCTGGAGGTATCCTTACGTGCAGACAAAGCTTCCTTGTGTCGAATACACAAACTTTCACATAAACGTTCAGTCCCTCAAGATGTGTAGGGTTAAACATACCACATTTCTAGCCAAGTTTCTTTTGGTACTAAAACAACTGTCTGACACAAACATGAGTCAAGTATAGTTGCTGTATTAATCTTCCAGTCATATCTAGTCAGTGCCGTGTTACTAACAAAATTGATACTACCTAGGATGTATGTCACACCAATAGTTTTAGCTTCTTCTAGTAAGTTAAAATACTACCTTTTATTAAACTAGTAAATCTACCTTTCTTGTTTCGCAGTTTTGTTTGACCTTAGCAAGTACATCAGCTTGGAAAAACTAATAAACTAATAGATAAAAATGCTTATGTTCTTGAGGTTATTTGTTCTCTCTGGTAGCACTCGTGTGAAATTAAGCACATATGCCCAGGGCCTGAAAAGAGCTACATGAAGTAGTGAATTTCTTCCTGCTAAATGTTTTAAATGTTTTGCCTCAACTTACTATAAGTGCACTCCTTTTTTTTTTTTTTAATAATGTTTTATAAAAATTACTATTACGAATATGTAGAACTTTGGCCACAATTCCATGTGGCTATATATATGGCAGGACATAAATTAAAAGAAATACTTTATTTCAAAGCAGGATCTTCTAATCTGCTAATATTCCAGGGCACATAATTTTCCTGTTCCCTTACTTTTCCAACAGTCTTTCTCCTTCTTCTGTTTCCTGTAGTCATGCACTTTCCCACTAACAGGCAAATCAGTTTGAAGAGGTATTAATAATTACATACATAAGTCAATAATTCACAGAAGTACTGTAACATTCGGACTTCTGATTTTTGAGTGTCAGAAACTACTTTAAGATTGCCCCGAGATTCTAAAATTATTCACTATTATGACTAGAACAGTTATTCTTGAAGTTGTTCATAGGAAGTTATTGCATATCTGCAGTCTGAGTAAGTTATTCACTGGATAAAATAGCATATTTGGGTTTCTTAGTTTACATACATATGACAGCCACAATCTTGTCCCTCTCTAACAAGTTTACATTTTCTTTAGACTTGCCTTAGATTGAGGCTTGTAACACATTTCCGTCTGGCTTTTCCATTCAGTCACATCTAGTGTGAATATTTTCATGTAAATATTCAAAAAGTGTCATGTTACCAGCCTTCAATCTTAGCTTGAAATTTGTTTCCAGTCAATAAAGTATTTGCTATGCTATTTTCCAGGACACATGCAAAACCAAAGATATCAATTTGATTTTTTTTTTCAAATTCCTTTATTTACCCAGGTGTAATGTTTCTCTCATTACGTAACTGCTGTTGACATCTAAAGGTTCTCACTAAATATATGCAAGTCCATCTTTTATCATCACTATACACTTCTTTCTTCAACATGGTCACAGCTGGATTGGATAAATATGACATGTTTAAACAAGAGTTTTCTGAGAGTTTGGATTGATAAACAGTTTCACTGGAATGGTGCTTTTGTGCTTAGACCACCTGAATGTTATGGGAGTAAGTTTTTTTCAGGTTACTTATTAACTGGCTGCTAATTGTGCCTGCAGTCACTTGCTGTACTAATGACTGCCACTGTGTAATGTTACAGATTTCCAGATAATGGCAATAACAGCCTGGAATTTAGAAATGTACCCATTTCAAATCACTGTGACACCTGTGCAGCTCAAGTGCATTCTTTTCTAGGGCCAACCAACATTAAAATTCACCCACCAAAAAATATTGAAGCATGGCAGGAACAAGTTTATCAAGTAGTAGTGATTGTTTTGGTTTTAAACTAATGTTGTGTTTGTTTTCAGCTGTCCCTTGACCTTTACTACACAGAAGATGAAATCTATGAGCTTTCGTATGCACGAGAGCCGCGAAGTCACCGAGCTGCTGTAAGGGCCTTTCCAGATGCTTAATGAAAAGATTATTTTTTAATGAGTAACGTAACTTTTATCCCTTGCATTCATTTTATTCTATTTTAGTTTATGCTAATTTGAAAACATTTTACCTTTATAAACTGAGGAAAATCTGTTAAAGCAAAAATTGTCTGGTTGATGATGAAGCCTAAGATAGAATATATGGGAGAGTTGACACCATATCAGGTTTCATAATATGACCACAAACACAAATGAAATTACATATGTAGAGGCAGGATATCAGTCTCAATCCTGGCAATTGATACTGATTCTTTTAAATGAAGAATTCTTGTGTGATTCAAATGATGAAACCCACAAGTGTTTTGTTTGGTTCCTGTTTTATAAATGTGGAAAAGATTATGAATTTACAGGGCTGTCGGGGAACTGTGCCAATTTAAGGAACAACCACTGTTTTGGGCAGTTCAGGGAAGAGCTTCCTCTGAAGTACCGTGTAATTATCAAAAGTATGTTGGGTCCTACAGACCACTTCTGCAGTCTGTTGTCACAAATGAAAGAAGTGTAATACTGAAAATCTTTCCATGCAGTACTAATGAAGTTCCATTCGTTTATTCTAGCCTTTGACACCTTCCAGACCACCAGTAGTTGCAGACTGGGCCTCAGGAGTAGCCCCAAAACCTGATCCAAAAACCATCAGCAAACATGTTCAGAGGATGGTAGATGTAAGTATGGTTGGCCCCTTTACCTTACAACATCAGTCGTAACCTTAGTCTCTAGGTGTGAGGAGATAGAGAAGGGAGAAAATACTGGACACATTCAGAGCTGTGCTGAGTCTGTAAAGCACTTCTGTCCTTGCAAATAGATATTTCTGCCTAGCTGTAAATAGCAGCAGCGGCCCCTGAGGCATGGGAGGAAGTTCCTTAAATGGCTAAGGAACCAGTGAGGAATGTGAATGGAGGTTTGTATACTTCCAGAGTCATCCTTCCAAGGAGCTAAGGACTACATTTTTACCAGGGACTCCAGCATGATGTTATTAGTGGAGTCTGAAAGTGGGCCTCTCAACAGCTTTGTTACTAGCAGCTGTTTTTCTCTCTCATTTGGGTCACCCACTTTACTGGAAACCATCAAGTAAGCTCAGGTGATTGATTCCAAAACTGACAGAGAGATAGAGGTAAAGAGTTTGTCTTTGCATCCCTGTTTCATCTCTTTTCCTTCTAAATACTTCTAATATTGTCAGGTATCCTTTGATAGGTGCTGTTTGGGAATATATTTCTAAATTTGGCCTGTGTGCTCCTTGCCTTAGGGACAGACACCAACAGTAATGTCACTCCACAAGTGTGCAGTTGAAAGTGTTGAAAGGCTGCGAGAATTGGGCTTGTTCAGCCTGGAGAAGAGCAGGCTCCGGGGAGACCTTATAGCACCTTCCAGTACCTGAAGGGGCTACAGGGAAGCTGGGAGGGGACGTTTTACAAGGGCCTGTAGTGACAGGACAAGGGGTAACGGGTTTAAATTGAAAGCAGGGAGGTTTAGATATCAGGAAGAAGTTCTTTATGGAGAGGGTGGTGAGGCACTGGCACAGGTTGCCCAGAGAAGCTGTGGATGCCCCATCCCTGGAAGCGTTCAAGGCCAGGCTGGATGAGGCTTTGAGCAACCTGGTCTAGTGGAAGGTGTCCCTGCCCATGGCAGGGGGGTTGGAACTAGATGGTCTTTAAGGTCCCCTCCAACCCAAACCATTCTATGATTCTATGATTCTGTAAGTGTAAATTGATGTCTGTGTGACAATTCTGCCATGTAACTGCTTTTCATTTTACCCAGACCTGATGAAATAAGCTAGGCAGCTATACTGATTTGGCTACAGAGAGCATCACTGAGAACACTAATTGAGAGCATCAGTACAAGTTGTAAATGTAAGCCTGGACATAATGATCTTAAAGTGAGACTAAAAAAAGAGCTGTCGTCGTATAGTAAAGCATGTAGTCCAGCCTATGCTGATTTACCTACATTTGCTACAAATCAAATAATGCTTCTTTAGTCTCAAGTGAAAAAAAGAAGTAGTTAGACTGTTGCACTGTTTAATACATACTGGGAGAACGTGGGAGAGGAATTCCATAAATATTGCAGAGAATTTCTAAAGTGGTAAGTCAGCCCATCCTTGTTATAAATAAATAGTATTCTACTATTACCTTTCACAGTCCGTTTTCAAAAATTATGACCATGATCAGGATGGATACATTTCCCAGGAAGAATTTGAAAAGATAGCTGCCAGTTTTCCATTCTCATTTTGTGTAATGGCTAAGGACTGGTGAGTACCTAGCTCCGCTTGTCAACTTTGTAGCGTCTGTTTTGGGGGGAGAGGGTTGGGGTTTTGATTTGAAATTTTATTTCTCTCATTAGCATGGTAAAGCATCCTCTTTACTCACAAACAGAAGTGAAAATGAAACTGAAAAAAGCATCTTCTAAATGTGTGGTGAATGACATCTTCCTGAGCTTACGGCAGTGGTAACCAGGCTGATGTAGGAGGAAGAACAGATAATAGAAGAGATATTTTTTGAATGATAATCAGTCTGTGCTACTAAAGAACTTTTCTAAAATGAACCTGTCCCTCAAAAAGAGAGAATTGGCAAAACTGTATTTTGGTCAAATTAAGAACATTTTTATTAACATATTAAAGCAAGGAAAAACACAATAGTTTAATAACTATTATATAATAATAGTTAATAATTATTCAAAGGTTTTCTCTGTAGTAGTTTTGAGGCCAAATCATATATGCAGATACTTTGTTTATCCTTACATGCTGCATTTTGAATGTGTAGATAAGCTGCTGTAGACTTTGGGAGCAGCTGACAAGATTCCTGTGATCACCGTGCCTTTTGGCCCTTGAAACTATTGCCATCATAAATTGTAAAGAGAGATATGTTTAATTCTCCTTATCCTTTTAAGAAAATGTATGTCTCACAAACAACTCTTCTTGTTTATTTTCAGGGAAGGTCTGATTAGCAGGGATGAAATAACAGCTTACTTTATGAGGGCTAGCTCAATCTATTCCAAATTAGGACTTGGCTTTGCTCACAACTTCCAAGAGACCACTTACTTAAGGCCTACTTTCTGTGACAACTGCGCTGGATTTGTAAGATTAATTTTTAGTAAATTATGTTAATGTTGTTTGGAACAATGCATTTTTTTTAATCTCGTAATCACCATGTGTCATGTACAGAAATGGATCTACATCAAACACCAGTGAAGTTCTATAGAACACCAGGTTTCTGCCTGTGTAGCTGTTTAAGGTACCCTTTACGCCCCTCTTGGCAGTACTATTACCTGTTTAAGCATGGCTCCTACCTCGTGGTGTTTGGCTGTGTCATCATTCTCAGGCAAGACTTCCAAATCCAGAGCCTTCCACTCCATGGGGCTGTTAGAACTCATGTCCTGGTACAGATACGACATACCCCCTACCTATGGCACAGAAAAGTTTAGTAAAACTGATTGTCCCACCAATTCCGAGTTTAGCTGGGATCAAACAAGGGTGCTGAGATAGAATTCTCCATCTACTCCAGCTCCACAACTTCTCTGGGGGCTGTCAGATCTGCTGGTGTATTTGTTAGAGACTAGCTCAAGGTATTTTGTTTGTGACAGAGGAACACACATAAAATGTTCTGTTTACCTGATGCTAAAGAGGTAAATATTTCATTTTGACCTTACTGTTAAAAGGGTAGAAAACCAAGATATTCTGCAGGTGCTCAGATTTTAGAAATGAGTGAAGCTTTTAATGGATTTTTATATCTGGAGTTATCAAATGTACAGAGAAACACATTAATACATAGCCTGTTTGTTTCAATTGCAGCTATGGGGAGTCATTAAACAAGGATACAGATGCAAAGGTAAGGTATTTTATACTTTGTTAATTTTAATCTATAATTGACGGGGAATGACAAAAAACCCTGATCATGCTGAGACCCACTGCTATGTCTATGGAACCATTTCATCTGACCTCTCAGGGAGAAGAAGAATGAATCAAAAACAGTAGGACAGACAGATGGTCCAGAAGAAATGCAAAGATGAAGGAACTCATAACTGATGGCTCTAGCCCTTTGCCAAACATCACTGAATTCAGAGGGTTTGGGAACAGGCCCTTCTATTCCAATGGGCACAAACACCAGCACTGTGAAAACCATGCAGTACATTCACAACATGTATGTTGCAGAGTTTTCTTCCTCACACAGGTATCTGCTTTCTCTGCAGCTCCTACGGTCAGAATGCTGTTGTGACTGACTGTTCCTATTTTGTATTTTCACAATGAAAATGAGTTTAAGCATATACAGCAAAGGGATGTCGTTGGTCTGTTTACCAGGTGTCTTGTTGTTACAGGTAATGAATGTGGAGAATGCCGAAGCAGCTTCCTTGCTTCCTGGGGAGGCAATGCAGTGTGAGAGTTGATCTTAGATGCTACAGCAGAGGCACTGAATCACGTAAACTTTGTTTTGTTTGCAGACTGTGGAATGAACTGCCACAAGCAATGCAAAGACCTGGTTGTGATAGAGTGCAAGAGAAGACCCAAAACTTCAGTTGCAGACAGCAGCCCAACATCTGCGCTTGCTTCGAGCCTCTACCCAGTAGGAGTCAAAGAGCAATTCCATGGTGAGAAAAGATCACATTAAAAAGATCAAAAGATCTAGATAATATCTCCTTTGCTCTTTTTTAATTTTAAAGCTGAATTGTACAGCATCCTTTTGCATTTTGGTAGTGCAGTGTTCTATCAACATATAAACTAGATCCTGGACCAAGGAACACCATTACAGTTCTAGTCTAAGTAAGGACTCCCTTTCTGGGAGATCTCTTGTCACACTACACAATGGGTGGTGCACAAATTCCACAAAAACTGAGTAAATCTTCTGACAGACTCTCATGAGAACCAGATGCCATGAACTGAACAGTTGACAGGTTCCCTTAACTCTCTCACCCTGTGACAGGCAGGTCTTCGTACACTCCAGTTTTTACCACTGTTGCCACATTAAGCAACTACTGCACTGTTACAAACGTGAAGTTTGTAAGGTCAGTTTATTTATGTAAACTATGTGCTCAGAAAACCAAGAGCTCATTGTGTTTTTCACTTCAGTAGCTGAATCTACAACTCCTCTTTGTCCATCCATTTTTCATCAGAAATGAAAAATCTACATCTCTCTGTTCTTTTCTCCTTGTATCAAACAAGCTGCATAAACTTTTCATATTGTGTATTACCATGTAGGCCTCCCAAGGAGGAAGAGTTGTCCTTGAGTAAGACCTCAGGCCACTTTTGGTTTTGACTGTGATGTTATAGCTCTCTCCGTACTCAGTTTCTTTGAATTTCTCTCCTGCTCTTTGCCTGTATCTGATTTCTTCCAATCTACTTCTTGCCAGTCTGATGCCAATCCTTCGTGTTAAGATTCAGACTGCTGGATTCCATCTAAAGCTCCCTATTGGCACTGACATGGAGCACGATGCAGGGCCAGGACAGCTGACCATGTGCAGCTCCCTGACTGCACTGCAGTGGTTGCAGCACTGCATAACCACCACCTTGTTGGGGTGTCATGCTTACAGAGACTGAGCTGTAGCGTGTTGCCCCATCATCACGCATGGCACCAGAATGGTACCTCTCAACGCTACGTCATGCCAGAGAATGAGAATTCAGGTCTAGGATGGAGGTGTAAGCTTCGTCTGTTCATCCATATCCTCATTTAATTCTCCAGAGCCTGCAGCAGCCACTGGACCGACTTTGCTCTTTTCCCTCATGTGTTTGACTCATTTTGTTTCCCTCCCAACAACAGAAATTATCTGAAACACATCTTTTCTTAAATCCTTTAATCACATCTTTTGCCCAGGACTTCTAACACTGTGGAGTTCCCCTCCCCCTCCACTAGTTTTTACGTTTAACTGCCAAAGTATTTTAGGATGACCTATACAAAAGCAGTGTAGAATTAAAAATGTCACTATTTCACCTTATAAAGTGGATGAGATAAATTGTATCTTACAGCTGCAAGTTGTGGTAAGGCTGAACTAACACCCAGGTTTAACCTTCCAGCCCAGTCAGAAAGATCAATGGTCTATATAAAACCTGTTGGCCTTCTAGGGGTTTTTCTCTAGCTGACCTTAATGGTACACCCCATTTCCTCTTACTGATCCGGATTTATGTTACTGAGACAGGGCAAAGAGTTGTTCCAACAGACACAACACTGAGAAACTTCCAGTGACACCTATTTTGGAGAGCAATGGAGGTACAATCAATAAAGAACAAATGTTGTTTTATTTATTTAAATAGTGTTTAATTACTGTTGCTCCTGTTTCACCCTTCCTGGGGTAAGCTCCTGACTGAATTGACCCTATATATTCTACAGGACAAGAAGAAGGGCCGTTCATGTTTCCTAATGGAGAAGTAGTGGAGCACAACGAAGACAGCAAGGACCGAACGATTATGCTCATGGGTTCCTCAGCTCAGAAAATCTCCGTGAGGCTGAAACCAGCTGTGGTTCATAAAGGTACACAGACTGATCTCGTACTGCTGGCTGGTGATGTATGTCGTAAGCAGAGAGAGAAGAAAGAACACAGGATGCCAGAAAATCCTTATCTCCAGGTAGCCCCACCATCCCCATGTCCAAGCCCAATTCTGGGCCGCAGAAAGGCGTATGTTAAATGGGAAAACAAGGACTCCAGCCAGAAGATGAAGGAGGAGCATCACAGCTGCAAACCCTCATACCAGGAACTTGAGCAGGTACATACAGGATGAAACAAACCCTGCTTTACATGACAGTACCATAAAGTTGATTGGAAGGTGTCGGGGAATGGCTGGGTGGGAAGGTGTCGCCTCACTCCAGTGCGATTAATTGCCAGAACAACCTGTGAGTGGCATCATAAATTCTTAGCCACTTCAACTCCAGCAATGCTTCACTTCAGGCATAAATTTTAGTACTAGTATAGGGCTTAGGGAATAAATTTTGAAGTCCTTGTTATGGTTACACTGATCCCTGTCAGTCTTAAAAGGGACAGGGAAGAACATGTACATAATTCAATTCTGTAGGACAGGATGTTACTCCATAAAACGAGTAACATAGTCCTGGACGTCTTCCTGCTTTTGGTGGCCTTTGTTCCCCTAAGTGACAGAACATATGGGGTGGGGAGGGCGGGGAGCTCTGTTCTTGTTCAACTGACAGTGAATTCCTTCTTTTTTTTGATAACTTTAAGTCACCAAGAAATTTTGCTGTGTGAACAGACATGATGCCTCATGCTAGTACCAGCCCAGTTGTGGCTCACCTTACTCTGCAAGTGCTGTGACAAAGTAGCTATTTGTAAGACTGTGTCACCTCAGATTTGGCCCAAATTCAGGTCTGTAGAAACAACACCTTTCTAGACAGACTAAAGAGACTATCACACTCTCAACAATGCGACTGATGGATGGATGGATCCAGGAACAAAGACGGACTTACTTGCTTACTTTACAAATTACTATCACTATTCTGAGATGGACCAACATGGAAACAGCCTGACAGCAGGACCACAGCCTGATTTTTGAATGATCAGTGTAACTTTCCAAGTATCCTTTGCTGTTGATAAAGTGAGCTCATCTTTTATGAAAGATGATATAGATATAG